ACATATACAATATATAGTTGTTACATATATAAGGTATTATGCACTGGAATTCATTTGATGGCATGGGACATCTATATATATAAATAGGCTTCAAATATTTTTTCTACGAACTTTTTGAAAATCTCCATATAAATAGATAGATAGAATGAGAGAATGAGAATGAATCAGTGGTAGCATTCTTGCCTTCCATGTGGGAGGTCCAGTTTTGGTGAGCAGTCACCAATCAACCATCAGTAAAGGCTTGCATGTTGCTGTGAGCCTGTACAAATTTCAGCAGAGCTTATACGTGCACTTGGAAGAAAGAACTGGTAACTTACCTCTACAAGGCAGCCAATAACCCATATAGATCACGTTTCAATTATTCAATTGCTCATGAGGATAGCACAAGACTGGGCAGTGTTTTGTTTATTTGTACTTAGGATCATTATGAGTCAAGGTCTGATTTTAGTGTAGCTGATAACATCAACCCAGATACACAAGTAAATATTATAATTGATAATTCAGTTTTATACTTGTTTTAATCATCAATCTCATTTCTCATCAACTTTGATAAGAATTGATTCTAAACTGCTTTGAAAATTAAGATAACAGCCTATCATAAGTGATTTAACAATATCCTACTGTTGGCAATTCAAAGCGCTTACAGTTGTTCCCTAGAATAAATGCTTCTGTGATGAACATTCATAAAGTGAAACCTTAATGCACCTCTCACATTATGTCCTTAAGATTAAGTTTCTAGAAGTGGAATAGCTCAGTCAGCAAGAATGCACCTTCTTCAAGTGCTCTAGGGACTGGAGGAGCAGTTAGTTAAATGCTGAAAATGAAAACACAAGCAGACTGGTGGCTGGCTTCCAGGGTATGCTTGCAAAAGCAGATTAAGCTCATAGTCAATGAAATAAGGAGAAATGAAAGGGAAGAAGACATTGCAGAGTACGCTTTGTGTTGCAGGTCTAGGTTCTCAGGAGGCCTGAGAACCTGAAGGTGAGGGCACGCACACCTGCACTTATCTTTAAGGAAGCTTGAGCTAGTGGGAAGTGAGAAGTCTCTTATAAAAGTCAATTTCGCTTGCAAACACAGATCACAGACATCTAAGACTTATCAAGTCCCATACTTCAAAATAGCTCTTAAAAATTTCATGTCCTGTGCAGAAGAGCTCTTGATCATCGTGTGCCTTGGGGGGCAAATGGGTCTCAGGCAGAAATATGGTCTCAATGTTGTTATAACTTGTGACTTTGCCTTCATCTTTGTTATAAAAATCACAGAAATTCAAACTTTCAGTTATACTATCTTAACCTCATAAATGAGGCATGTTTGCAGATGAAACATAAGCCTTCGGGGCCACACATTTTAACAAAATAGTCTGCACTTATCCAAATCTGGAATGAATTTCTAAAATACCAACTCTACTTGCACATCGAGAGGTGCCCTGGGGGTGTAGTGGGCTACATGCCAGGCTGCTAACCACAAGGTCAGCAGTTCAAACCACCACTGCTCTGCAGGAGGCAGATGAGGATTTCTATTCCTGGTTATGGTCACAGTCTCAAAAACTTGCAGGGGCAGTTCGATCTTGTCCTGTAGGGTCATTATAAGTCTCATTCTACATCACAGGAGTGAATTTGTTTGTTATTTTAAATTTGACCTACATATCTGCACTAAGCTGGTTATAGTCACTAAATTCACTGGCTGTTTTGTCATTTGTCACTGACTTCAAAAGAGACAGATGCCATTTTTAGACTTAATGCAAACTGCCACATAGAAAATACCTCCCCATAACCCCAGCTCAGATATCCTACAGCAGATGGCAAAGCAGACATGCTGGAGTGAATGCACACGCATGACAGGAAGGCTGACACAGGGGAAACAAGGAGTCAGCACGCCAGCTCCCAATGCCCCAAATGCTGAGCTGCAGCAGTACATAGCACAGCCTATTGCCACTTCAACAAAAGGCATACAGCACTTGTTGCTGGGCAACCCTATTCCCAGCAGGTGCATTCAATGCCACTTTGCAACATGGTAGGCCCAAACTTAATCAGAAGAATGGAGACATCCAAGCCCTCCGCACACCAAACACATACCTCAGGAAACTGGGCCTATCTAGATGGGCGAGTAAAAGGCATACTTTCTG